CCACACGGGGCTAAGTGAGCGGCCGAGGAGCCCGGCAGCGGCCGAGCCGGGGCCCGCCACCCTCAGCGGACACCTGCCCCGAGCCAGAACGCGGGAAGTAACAATTTTACATGACTTTTATTGAATAAAACCACGTATTTACAATTCAAAAAAGTCCTAATTTGATACATTTACTAAATAAAATTAAGGGTCACCTGTACAAGTGTCGTAACACGGGTCACGGGTGTGGTGGGGGCCCCTGCGGGCTGGGGCGGCCCCTCGGCCGTCCCCACGGGCCCGGGCGGAGCCTGCCGGGCGCATCCGTGGTGCCAGCGCGGGCTCGGAGGCCGCGGCCACCTGCCCGGCTTCTGCCCGTCGGCCCCACAGAAACTCTCGGCGAGCCCGTAGCGCCTGGGCCGTCCCGGCCTTGGGCCATGGCGAGTCCGGCAGGGGCGGGCAGGCCTGGGCACATGGGCAGCAGCAGTTTTCCCCCACAACTCGAGGACCCCTCTATGTACAGTAAGAAAATATACACATCTTCCCAGGACAGGGCCCGCGCCACAGGTCAAGGGCGGCCTGGCGACGGGGGCTGGGGGTGGGGGGCAGCGGGGTCCGTGTGAAGGCGAGGCCGGCTGCCCTGCCCCTGAGGGTCGGGCTCCGGGGGCAGTCCCGGACAGAGCTGGAGGACGGCCACCGCGGGTGGCCCCCCGCGACCGGAGCCTGGCGGCAGCCCCCCGCCAGCCTCTCCTGGCCCGTGTCTCCGTGCACACTAGCCCCAAACCCAGGGGGCTCCCAGCATCACACACGGGGTCACGGCCCCAGGGGAGCATGGCTGAGAAGGCCGGAGAGGCAGGGCCAGGCCTCGGCGTGCGGCCAGGCGCCTGCGCTCTGCCGGCCGTGGGACCCGATCCCAGAGCGGCTGCCCGCAGGCCACCGTGCCCACTGGCCACGCCCTCGGGCGTCAATGCGAAGCTTCAGAACACTCAGGACAAGCTGGGGAGAGACTGCCCGGAGGGTGGGGGAGCCCGGCTGGCAAGGGGCGGGCCGATCCTGCCCTCCGCCTGCCCCCAGGCCACTGCCCGGAGGGAACCGCTGGCCGGCCGGAGCGCAGGGGGTCTGTGGCCCTCGCCTGACTGTACCGCGCCTGCCTCCGCCCTCCCTGCCGCCGGCCGTGAGGGCGCCACTCTGGGGGAGCAGGCCCCTCGGCCTCTGTCAAGGCAACGTGGTACGCAGGCTGCACCCCGGCGAAGTGCCCTGGGGGCCGCCAGCCGGAGGGCGCGTCCTGGACGCTGGCTTTGGCGCGGCTCCGTCCAGCAGCCCCCGAGGGCCTCCCGGGGCACGGCGGCCGCCCGTCCACACGGCGCTTCTCGAGTACCTCGGCTGAAAAGACTGTGTGTTCTTGCTGCCAGGCGACGCGAAAGCGCGACAATTTAATGAGCGTTTGCGGGTGGGGCGAGCCACGGCCCTGCGTGCGGTGCGTGCAGGGCACAGCGTGGCCTCGGGACACCAGGCCGAGCAGCCTGACCGTCTGAGAGTGCGCCGGTGTCCTGCGTTCCAGGCCAGCCCAGGGTCAGGGCCCGTGGCCTCGGCGCCCGTCCTCCGCCGCCGGCGAGCCCGCTGGGCTGCTGACGCCCGCCTCAGTGCCTGGGCGATGGGCTGCCCTTCTCCGCCTCCCGGCTGTCCTTCTGCAGCGCGGTCAGCACCTGGGGGCCACGGGGCGGTGTGTGTGGGCGGCCCCCGGGTGCTGCCTGCGGCCACCCCCGCCCCCGCCCGCCAGCCACATTCCGACGGCGCCCGCGTCCCTCGCCAGGTGCAGTGAGGCCTACCGGGGCGGCCGGGCCCGGGCAGACTACCGGACCCCTCGGGCCCCACCTGCCCCAGGGTCAACCGCACCCGCTTCACAGCACCAAGCGCGGCAGGGCACGGCCAGGGCGGCGGGTGTCCCTGCTACGTCCCTGGCCCCGAAAGGCGGCGGGCTGAATCCTAACACGCGCAGCGCACGGGCGGCGGCTGCC